GTTGTACCTACATTGTAGGTGTCAAAAACCTAAATTGCTTAGAGAAACACCAAAAATCAGTTTAATAGAATATATTTATTGTGAGTAGATACGATTCAAATCAGGCAGCATCACCAGAACATGTCAGGAAGACAGAAGACGCTCTGAAGAGGGGACAGTGAAAGTGGGTTTTATAAGTGATTGATATGTTAATTACTTAAGAGATAGTATCAAAGCACAGGACAGGTTACAGAAACTGTCACCAAGGACATGCCATACATCCTAAAACTGCCTCTAGTCAGACCCTGCAGTTCCTGCTACTCTAAATGTGCTGCACATAGATAATTTTTCAAAAGAATCCAATGTCTAAGGCAAAATGCTCCCTGCTAAGCTGCCTACTAAGCTATTGTTTGACCTGAAGGTGATTCCAGGGAACCAGTTCCTCTAAGGTTCAAAAGGACGCCTAAGGGCGGAAGGCCTGGGTGGGTCACCAAAATTGCATGAACTCGTAAATCTGGATTCCAGGAGAATCAAAATGATTTTGTCATAGGTTTGCTACCAGGATTAAATGAATTAAATGAGGTAATGTGTGTAAAGCACTTAAAAGAGTGATACATACCAAGCACTGTAGAAGTGCTAAATACATTTTTACAAAAAGAACTCTCTGATGTCAATGTGTAACTGGTGATTGATGACATTGTTTCCTTTCTGGATCAGGACTGATGAACTGGGCACCACACAGTCATGCATAGCTTCCATGATACGTTCTGTGAAATAGGACGTTATATGATTTGGACATTGTGCAAACACCATATTATTTTCTCCTGGCAACTTGGAGATAGCAGAAGTATTCCTTACCCAGGAACAGGAAGGGCCTGGAATTCTGCTCACTGCTGTCCGGGCCAGGTCAGTGGCTGCATCCCAGGAGAGTGAGGGTTCAGTGAGGGTATGCACTGTGCTGGCGGAGCCTGGGGACTGGGCCTTTAGACAAGGCCCTGGGACACTCAGGAAAGCAGTGGGCCCTTTGAAGGCCCAGACAGCCCTGCAGGCCCCGTTCGCTGAGGATAAGGTCTAGGGGCATGGTGCAAGTCCAGTGTAGGTTCCCCAAGCACCAGCTGGTCTGAGGTGCAAAGGTGGCAGCTCCCTCTTGGCTATGTCTGGTTACATCCACTATGTCCCATTCTCCAACTGGAATTTCTAAACTTATGGAACCTCGTGGTATATGCAGTCAGATGATGCCTGAACAGATGTTTTGTGGCGCATGATTGTATTACTGAAGCCTCTTGTCAGGTTCCTGAATTAAAAAATAATCGTGATAATGGTGAAACAAATCAAGAAGAGTGGACTAGTTAATCTGCAAGGTTCTTCTGAGCCCAAAATTTCTATGAAACAAATCCTTCAATTCTCAATGCATTTGGCCTCTTGCTACTCCTTGCTGATCTTCCTTTTTCTTGTTAAAATGAAAGTCTTATTAAGCCAATAATAGAAATTGATCAAATTTTATTGACTATAAATGTCACTTTGGGGACTAAGGTGCACCTGACCCAA